AAATATACAATGTGAATATATATTTACAATAACTTGGTGGTATGGAATTTTATTATGCAACTTGAAAATGGTTCATCACATTGTAAATAAATATCTACAATAGCATAGTTATTGGTATATATTTTTAGTTTCAGATATATAAAGACTGCCTGAAGTTGTAAGAAAGACGTAAACTCAAAAAAAGGCATTAAAAGTTATTGAGTGATGAAACAATGTTGGAAATTGCAAAAATGTTGAACATAAATCATAGAACAATAAAAAAAAAATTATAACATTAGCAAGGTCAGAACAAGACAAAAATGGTTTTCAAATGTCAAAAAAGAAAAAAAAAAGATTTGAGGAAAATTAAAAAGGTATTAAGTAAGAAACACGGGTTGACCAGCAAGAAAACATTTGAAGATCTCAGTGATATGAATATTAACTTAGTAGAAAGATGCAGAATATTAAGAACATTGGCTAAAGACATGAAGGCAACCATCTTTAATGATCTTTAAGTAAAACATCACAAATATAAACATGACATTTGGGAAAAGTAGTACATGAAAACAGATTTCTCAAAAGCAATTTTTAATGATGAACACAGATCTGCACTGGTTGGACCTTGATAAGTCAGTATGAGGTTAGGTACTTCATGGAAATAGTCAACCAACACAACAGTAGGCAAGTGGAGGAATGTTTTGGGTTAGTAACCCTCCAATGCTGATGAAAGGGTAGCAAGATAAATAGGGGGAATTATTGTAAATTGTCTAACAAGTCATTTTTTTTTTCTTTTTATTGATACAAGTCACAACCAATAGGCTTTAATCTAAAGAGTATAATGATACAAAATTAGCTATCTCCACTAAATTGTTGAAAAAATAGTACAGCATAGTGAAAAAAGGCCCCAAACTTAATAAAAACAATGTTTTATCATCAAAGTGTTTGTTATTATTAGGAGGAAAAACAAAAGTATTTTTTAATTATTTAAAAATTTTTTTTTTTTTTACTCCTAACACATTTGAAATTTTGGTTAAAAATCTTGTTTTTTTGGGGGGGCGCGGGGTATTTTTATGCACCAATGGTGTAATAGACCTGGTAATGGAAATTTTCACACCTGCTTTCCAGCAAAATAACACATTAATTTGAAAAGTCTTGCAAAAATCAAATAATTGTCAGATTTTTAATGAAACTTTCAGGATTTATTCACAAATTTGCTCTGAAACTTAAAATAAAAGCTGCAATAAAACTATCTATTTAATTAGATAAGCTTTTAATTGCTTTTATAAATAATATATATTAAGAACATTATAGTTTGAAGAAAAATTTTTTTTTTGATGAATAATGAATTTTTACAAGAAGTGTTTTCATTTTTTTTTTTTTTAATTATAATCATTTGTAGTTTCAAAAATGTTTTTAAAATTCTTCCAAACTTTGTCCTTGTTAAGTGAAGACTATATTTACTAAGCGAAAATTGAAAGCTTAATACAAATCATAACACTGTTATATATTTAAAATAATTTTTATTTTTTTTTTATGTGTATAAAAGATTTTGAAAGTATGGTAACCATCCATGATATTATCAAAAAGTAAGATTGATCATGATAGTAAATTTAAAGTCAATATTCCTAAAATTAGATTATGGAGAATATTTTCAACATTTTTAAGATTACTAAGTACTTAAAAATTATATAAAAAAGCATTCACTAGTCATTTTTTTAAAATTATGTTTTAACAGATAAGCTCTCCCTAGAACAATAATAAAAGTGTCAACATTTCATAAATCACTTGATGTGTGATTTACAATGAGTTGACAAGCACTTAATTGCACTACTGTTTGTTTTAAAATCTGTTATTTTCAACTTGAAGTAAATGATATTTGTTTCAAATCAGATTAATTATACTTTAAATCAGTAAATATTCCTCAAAATTTTAGAAAAGTACATTTTTTGAAGATTTTTTAATAAAAGAAAAATTCACTCTAATGACAGATGGCTAAAAAGGGGCACTAATCAGTTATTTTTAACCCCTCCCACCAAAAAAAAATGAATCAACTCCAAACAATAGAATTTCTGTTTGAAATACACTATAGGCAACCTTTTGCTATGTGCTGATTTAGGATTTTATAATCATTCAGTGTACCAACAGCATATGTATTTTTATACAAGTCAAGGTTAATATACTTGTTCTACAATATATTTTATATGTTAATATATATTAAAATTGAAATGGCTAAGTATCTTCTTTGCATTGTAGTATTAATAGTTATTGGTTCAGATTTTGCGATGTCATTTGCAGCTGTGTGCCATTGGAAATTGCTTGGCATACCACATGTGGCATGCATGTCATAGGTTGCTGACTCCTGCTATAGAGTATTTTGCTTACTAGAAATAGTAAATTTAATCCTTTAGCTATCAATTAAAGCTAAAATGAAAGCTTCAAAAAAGATTTTTCATTTAAACTTTAGATATACAGAATTAGTGGAGGTACCTATACAAAATACTGCTTTCACATTCTGCAAAGTTGACTATTGCCCACCTTGCCCAAAAAGGTTTCAAAGACAACAAAGTAATGGAATGCTTCCTCTACTTCCACCAGTCTCTCTAGAAATTAATCCAATAGAAAACTTTTGGTCCATCACTAAAAGTGTTGTATATGCGAATAGAAAACAATATTCACCCAAAGGTTTCTGGGAACAAAAAGAAAAAAAAATTGCTAAAAAATTTAGCAAGTTTTTGTTTTTTTATGCTAAAACCAAAACAGTAGAAAAATTAATAGAATATCAAAGAATGCATATGATTATGTAAAAAGTATTTGGGTATCTGGGATCTTGTGTTAAACGCATATACTTAAATTTGAATTTATTTATAAAAAAAAAAAAAAAAAAAAGATAAACTAAATTTCACTTAATTTGTATATTAAAATCTGACATTCCCAATGCAAGTTAGCAATGTTTTTAATAAGGATAGATATTCGTACAGTACACTGTTCATGTTCTGAAAATTTTACCAACATTGTTTGGTTAATAATCAATTTTATTTTGAAAATATTAAGTTGCATAATAAAACATGGCAATGTATTTAAACAGACATAACCAAGAATGAGTGACTAAAAAAAAAAAAAAAAAAAAAAGTACCCTCATTACATCTTCTGGTAATCTATTTCCTGTTAAAATTTGTGCCATTTTGGATTATTCTAGTCTTACCACTGCATTTTTATATATACAATCTTGATTATAACCAGTTCTCAAATTTAGTAATAGTCACGCAGTAAACTACGATAGGTTTCCTTTTATGGTGCTTTTACAAAGTTGCTCCTTAATGGCATTCATTTTCAGCTAATGTAGATATTTTCTTTTTAATTTCTTTTACATATTAAATGTATTTTCTTATGTTTAAAAAGACAGATACATCAATATTTTTCTTGATTGCATGTAATAAAAATATGTTAAGAATGAGCTCTTTAAAAATTTTCCATTTTTTTTACAAATTGTCTCATAGCAAAAAAAGATGTTAGATGATTTAAAATGAGTAGCAATAAAATGATTCCATTAAAAATATTTGAACATACATATTTCTAAGTGAAATCTGAAGCCTATAGTACAGCAGAGGATTTTTTTAAGAAAACATTACAATAAAGTGAAAAAGAATGGTTTAATAGGTAAATTTCCTAGTTAGCAAACTGAATGATATTACAAAAATTCACAAAGGGTAATTTCTTAACTAATTTAAAGTTAAGGAAAAAATCTTCAGAAGGTTGTGTAATCTTTAAAAAATTGTCAGTTTATTATCTAATAATAGATCAGTATACAGCAAGAGAAAACATATGGTGCAAAATAGGTTTATAGTCCAATAGCAACACTAAAGATATTTTTGATTCATAAAAGAAAAATGAATATCTACCAATACACCTTCTCTATTTTTCTTTTAAAAATATAAATTTAAAAGAAACTTTCATATTTAAAAAAATTAACAAAAGAAAAAAGTATATTAATTCAACAAAGCTTCTACTTTCCTGCCAAGAGTTAAAAACAAAATCTAAATATTAGATGAGAGTGAAGGGTCCTTCTGAGATTGTGAATTGAAAAATCTAGCCAAAACTGTCCTGTCTATAAAAAAAATTATAAACATTAACAATCATTGTAGTAAATGATATTCCTAACTTATATATATTTCTGAGACGGTGCTGCAAAGTTCTTGACTCCATCCACTTTCCAAAATCTGACCAACTGTCCAAATATTAAATTTAAAAAAAAAAATTTTTTTATTATCCCTTCTTGGTCAGGTAAAGAACTTTTCAGCAACCACCCCACCCCATATATTAATGGCACAAAAATGGATTGGGATCTCAATTGATCATCTGCCTCCAGTTATGTGAATGACTGATTTCTAAATAAATACATGACTATTAATATTAATAAAAAAGCAACCAGCTGTCCTTATTCAAAGATATTTACTGTTCTTTTTGAGTGATTTAGAATATCCATTTCCTGTAAGTAAAGGCTGTTGTCTAAAGCATATTCATAACTGGTCATACTTGATGGAAACTTTGAAATTATCTAAGATTGAAAAATGATTTGTCATTAACTAAGTTTTACTTAAGACCAGTTATAAGCAAGAAACATCTTAATCCATGTTTACAACAAAATGGCTCATCAGAAAAATTTAAGTAAAAAACAGTTTTTGATAAACAGGAAATTGAATTCTCACATCACACCATGAATCACAAACAGCAACAGATGAAGGACAAAACAAGGATTTTAATTTTAACATATAAACCTAAAACCAGTTTTATAATTATCTTCTTCTGGTCGAAAATGTGGTTAAAGTATATTTTGATTGATAATATAGATGTATTACAGGAAAAGAGAGACCACTACAAAAATTAATAAATGTTAAAAGAAACACTGGATGATTTAGGAATTGGGTGTACAAGTGTTATTTGCATGCAATAAGTTCATTTCAAAATTAAATAAATTTTGGGAGTGTATAGACAGAAGGGAAAGAGAAACAAAAACAAATTACCTTCATCTGGTTTAGTCTTTGGTTCTCATCATCAAGAATTTTCTTTTTTTCTTCATCTGACACACCACTAAAACCAAGATTTTGGTCAGCCATTGTGTTCAGAGCAGCAGTGAAGCCTGCTGGCCTGAAACAGATTAGTTTGGCACAGGGTTAAATGGGCCTCTTAAGTCAAACATGAGGCACAGTTATTAAATAAAGAGACTGGACTCCTGTAAGCTGAACCTAAACCTGAATGCATAAACCATATTATATACATTGGCAAGCAAAAACAAATCATGAAAGTTTCAATCAATTCGAATCGTCACTGTTATATATTACTTCATGTTTTTTTTTTAATATTGTAAAAAAAAAGTGGTCAGTCCAATTTGAAAGTTTGGGTTAAAATTGAACAAAATGGCTACCAAGATCATTTCTACAATCATTTTGACACTGAGTTAATCATTTTGAAGGATTTAACTTTTTTATATATATTGTCACTGATTCTTGACATGTATCAATGTCCACAATGTTGATCATTATCATCAATATCCTTTGATGCTCATAAATTCTCATGCCACTCAAACACATGTACAATTTGCCAAAAATTTCAAGTTGGTGACGTGCTTAATTTTTGAACTGCCCAATTTTTTACAACATATCAAATATACTTACTGCACCAATGCAGAAACTGAAGAGACAAATGGATTGAAGATTTCATAGGTTGTTTATGCATTTGTGCTGTGGTTCAATTTGCATAGTTCCAGTTTTATTATTTAATAGCTACACCTGAATTTCAAAACAAATGAAGAAAGGTAGCTATCAAATGAGAGTGAAATTTACAATTCATTTTTATATCAAATAGAGGAGGAAGAGAAATGAAATGCATTTAATGAATATAGATGACATTAATTACTTTCAAATGTAGGAAACTTGATATATCAGGTTGTACTGAAAAGTCCTCAGCCCAACTAACTTCCCAAAGTCTGACCAAATATCAGAATTATTTAAAATTCCTTCTGAATCAGGCTTAGAACTTTTCAGCATCTACCTATATTAATATGAAATCATTCATATTATAGAAGACTGATGTCAGTTTTGTCAAAAAAAAATAAAAAAATAAAAAAATTAACCAGAAGAATAAATAAAAATAATATAAAATAACTGAAGATCTTACAGTAGTCAAATTACTTAAATAATTTAGCTATAATCAGCATGATTTTAGTTACGTATGCACTTTTATAATGAAACAGTTGCCAAATTAAACATTAAATGTAATTTTCTCAAATCTATCATGTTAGGAAGATGGAATTACTTTAAAAAAAAAATCCAATGCTATTAAATTTTGAATTTTGCTATTATAACTATTCTGAGCCAGTTACAAAATTATTAATTTCTGACTCTTTCAAAGATAAACTCAATTCATTATTTGTAATTCAATAGATCTGGCAATCCTGATCTATAATACAATATTTATAGTATAATAAATTTATTAAATTTAGAAAGAAAACTTAGAATTAAAACTCCAGTCAATGATTAATTATAAATTTTCTTCCCTTTTTTTTATAGCATGTCTTTATATCTATAATACCTACAATATTTTGTTGTATTAGAGATATCTTCCTTGTATTGGTAATGCCAGTGCAAGAAAGATAATTCAGTGGCAAACAATTCTAAAATGCTTATAAGGCTCAGAGGTGAAAGGATCAATTCAATGATGCATTGGATTGTTTAAGTTTTTTTTTTATGTTTTATCAACCCTTTGGATTGTTATTTTTTTTTTGTTTTGCACATGAATATTACATTAATAATTTTTTTTGGAGATAATGATTTTTCCAGATATGCATAATATTTAACCCATAGCTGAGGGAAGAAGAGATTAATTCATACTTTCCCAAAGAGCATTTGTGCATAAGTAAATGTAACAAACCCAATTGGAATTCGAACACATTCTGAACTGCTATCCATTACACCACATACAAATCCCAATTCCATGAAAAAGCATAGTATAACAATAATAATCAGAAAAAACATTCAGATTTGCAGCCATTTTTTTTTTTAAACTTTGAAATATTGGCTACATTTTTTTTTTTTTTAGTTTTCTTGAAGGGTTAATATTTGAAATTTTTCCTTGTAATAATCTGCAGCAAAAGGAAACATGTTAAGTAAATGCATTCAACTTTGATCATTTTTACTTAAGGTCAGATTGATTTGGAAAACAGAGCTAAAAACAATTTTATTTTACAAAATACTTGGATAATTTTTCCTTTGGTATATCAGTTACTTCATGTTACAAATACATTACATACATTGCAATTATCAAACAACTAAAATAAAAGTTCTTAAATCACTGTGCTACTTTACAATTTAATATTATATAGGAAAATCTTGATAAAAGATAGCCTTTCAGAATATATAGGAAACTGGTATTGACTTAAATCACACATTTTTATTAAGACAGTGTCTTATTTAAAAAAAAACAAAATTGTCAACTTAAAAAAATGTCTAACCAACTTCTGATCTTAATTTAAATTACTATGATGTGTTATTAAGTTCCTTAGTTTCCATGGATCTTCTTGAAGGAAGAGGAATTAAAGGCCTAAGGGAATCTATGTTCAAACAAAAATTAACTAAAAAGAAAAAATTGAGTAAAAAGTTAGTTTTGTTAAGCAATTTTTTTCTTATGGAAATAGCTATTAACTATTTATTTTCTATAAATAAATGGCCATTTATTTATAGAACTGCAACTAATGATTTCATTAAGTTAATTTAGAGATCTATGATAATCAATATCTGATTAAGTCAATAGAAGATGACATTCACTTTACCAGTATTCTCTCCCTCTGATGTCATCAGTCCAGCATCACTTTGGTCCTCCCCTTGATGTCTTGTCATCTGCACCAACATCCAAGAGGAACACATCAATGGTAGGAGATTGAGGCAATGTTGGACTGATGACATCGAAGACTGAATAGGGACAATGCTAGTGGAATGCAGGATTGTGGCAAAGGTGAGGAGACAGTGGAGAGCACTGGTGCATTTGTCCATGGTCCCTGACCTCTAGCAATTAAGAAGAGAAGAATCAATTAAGAAGACATGGATACCTCAAGAGTTTGTAAGAAATAATAAAAACAAACCAAACAGTATTTATTAACAAAAAGTTCAAATAAGAAAAAATCTTTGAAATCTAATATGTTATCTAATAACTGAATATATATTGAAATAAGGGCTTAGCTATTTTATTCTTTTTATAAATCCAATATTTAACCAATTTCACTTTTCCACCAGAAAACCTGAAAAGTTTTACATTTGGTAAAAACAAGAACTTTCACCTAAAGCTTAGTGACTATCATGAAATCCATTTTACAAATTCCTTAACAACTTTGATAATAAATATGATATAAATAAACAGTAATATTCAATTTTAGGCCATCAAAATCTAAATACAATGTCTACAGCCTTAAATTTGTTTCTATTAGAAAAAAAAATAAATGACATGTCCTTTCAGGCTGTAAATGATTGTGCCTATCTACAGATATAAACGCTGCATTGTTATATCTGTTCTTGGTGGGGAAAATGGTGTCGTTTCCTACTGCATTCTCCACAGGGTTGAATTGGGAATTGTTTTTTAGTTGCTCTACTAAGGCAAAAAAATACCCAACGTACCATTCGGTTTTATTTATATCTAAAGAAGAGGAAATGGGTTCATGTCTTTCCCAAGGGCATTAATTCAACATGAATGTACCAGCTCCAGTTGAAATTTGAACTCTGCTTGCAGATTTCATTCTCCATACTGATAACTGTCACACCACTTGAACATCATTTATTTCTAGATAAGTTCACAAATTTTGTCACAAATTAAAGAATGAGATTTAGTTCTGTACAAGCAGTGTCTCATAAAAATCGTTATACAGCTCCAAGTATCAAACAATTCTTTGCAAAATTAATATTTTTGTTCAACCATTATAAATGACTAATGTAAATAAGTAACAATATTACTGTAAAGACATCTACACTGCATTAAACATGTTTTTAATTCAAGATACACAATTGAAACTCAACAATGCTACTTTTAGTATTTATTGAGATTTTATGAAGAAGATCTTGATAGTAAAAACAAATATACTCACTTAGATGTGGATGCTGGAAGCTTCTTTCCTTCTAGTGATGCATAATGTTGTTCTAATGCATCAAGTAGACTGGATGGTGCCTACAATAAAAGACTCAGAATTAACATTAAACAAATAAAATATAGTTTACTCTACAAATAAAATTTTTTTCTTTTTTCATTGAAAAGCTGCATATGGCATGGCCAATAACTGCTAAATTGGAAAATGCATGACAGAAACGCAAGATAAAATTCCTTAGCAATAAAATGCAAAATGCTGCTATCAAGCTAAATCAAAAGTTTGTTGTTCTTAAATGGCTTTACTCATAAAAATCACAAACTAAAAAAGGATTTTAAAAAATGGAAATTAGAGAAAATTGATTGATTAAAAACAATACTAAAGACTAAATGTTTATATAGTGACAGCAGAATTTATTATTTATAAGATTAGTGTACTAATCTGCCCTAGCAGAGGCTAACAATAGAACTTTACAATTAGTTATAAATTTTATTTTTTTTTCATATTAAATTTGTTATTATCCTTTTATATTCACATTATTGCATTTTTGCTGTTACATATTTCACTACATTTTTCTTGTTATAATATTGTCATTACTTTAGCTTCTAAATAAATGAGGAAAATGATTCACCTTACGTTATATTGTCCTGAAGAGGATGAAAATGTCAATAAAATCTAATTTTTGTAAAATTAAACATTAATAAGCCATGTGCACATTTAATTAAATAACTTTTCTTCTAAAACTGCCAATTATGATATTTTTAGACGGACAGATATAAAATAAATTATCTTATAGTCACAGAATAGCAATTCTGAGAATATTTGGAATCTGCAGTAAAGGTAATTCAGAAAAGGCTTGCATATCTTTCATCAAAACCTATGTTCAATGTCAACATTTTTATCACTTTTCCTGATAACCTTTAGCACTGTAGGTGACTATTTTCACCAAATAAAATGTTAGTCCTGCAAATGCAAGTTGAATTTGAATTTCTTGGTTGTGCAGTCATATCCTTCTATGGCAACATTTAAACAATCTAAACTGAAACTGAGTGACAGACTTGTAATTTCAAATATATAGAACAAATAAAAATATAAATATTTTTTTAATATATAAATCACTATATTTTGAGGGGATTCCATATACAGTAAAAGGGAAAGTAATATTTATAAATGATGCAAAGTGCTAAATGTTAAATACCCAATAATGTTAATTATATGCCTCCTACCTATTTTGAAACTTTTACCATGTTTTCATTTTGTCCTCCACACAGTACTCTAATACTTCTTTACCAGCAATGATATTTCATCTCTGTGGAATCTCCTTCGACCTATTCACATATTTCTTATGAAATATATGTATAGGTCAATATGTAAGAGAAACCTTGACATTGAAAGCATTAAAATGATTTTGTAAATCTTATATTTGATTTATTGATATTCAAAAACATAGCATTCATTATCATAGCTATTATACCTTTCTAATTTCCATTATATTTCACATGGCATGCCTTTCTAATTTCTAATCTATTAGAAATGGTATGCTCAAAACATTTCTAGCTATTACATTGTACATTTCCACTAAATAGTGAATAATACTCGAATTTCTAATGGTATTATCTAATGGCAATAAAAGATGCAGTATAAAAAACAGTATCTTGTAGATGTCAGTATTAGCTATAGTTTATTGAACAGGCTCTGTGGTAAAATTTAGTCATTTTTGCAGGGGAGTTCCTTTTTTTTTTTCCAGTGGAGGTATTCTTGCTTGGTTCTATGCAAGTATTTTTTTCTACAAATTTTAGAAGTCAAATTGTTAGACATTAATGATAAATACTATTTTTAGATTTAGTAATTTCCAGGAAACACTAAAAGGATCAGAATAAGATATTAAATGACAAGTACCATGCTTTCCCTTTCACAATACAAAAGTATCCAATATGCTTAATGCAATATCTTGTTTCCTCAAACATTGTTTTGTGTGTCTTTCAGTTATACAAGATAAAAGAACACTATATTGACCAACTCTTTTTTTGTTCTGTTTTTCTACAGTGAGAAAAGAAACAAGCTGAAAAAATCTTGGGAAGGAATTGCAACTAGAGAAATAAAGGATGGGAAGACATAAAAGGGATTTAAGAAAAAAGAAAAAAGAAAAAAGAAAAAAAAAAAGAAAGAAAATGATTGTTATATTTTTAAGGAATTTTTAATTAAAGAGGAATGGACACCAAAAAAGTATTGTCAGAAGAAGCAGTCAGTTGAATGAGAAGTACTTCAAATCATTTGTTGTAAATTTTAACTTACAATAGCAGATGAAAACTTTGAAATAATCTGAAGAGAGTAAAATAGTAACTAACCAAAACTAGAAAGCAATAATTTTACAACATAAAAAGAAAGTCTGAAAACTGAATTACGGGCCTAATCATTAAGCAAAAGAAAAAGCATTTCTACAAAATAATAATCAATTACTTTAGAGCAAGTTATTGGTTTGATAAAAAAAAAAAATCTAACAGTAAATTAATAACTTACAAGCATAATAAATGTACAACTTTAAATACATGCTTTCACAACTACATTCTAGACAATGTGACAATTTTAAAACAAAAAGAAAAAAATTGTAGATATTTGTAACATCAGTTTCAGAGATCATGATTTAAACTTGTCATAAGCAACAACAGTTTTGCTATTATAAATCAAACATCATGCATTCTACAACTTTAAGAACCTTAATTCTATTGGCGTAAAACTTAAGTATAAATGTAGAAACCAATAAAAGCTAGATGGTAGAGTTTCTATGGAAAGACATTTTCAGAAATTAAGTTTAATTATTTTTAGGCAAATATAAATTTACACAAACAACCATATAACAATTAAAAAAAAAAAAAAAGCAGTGCAATGTATGAAAAATGCAATTTAAAAAGAACAGAATATAACAAAAATTGAAAAAAATAGATGAATTAACTAGCAAACTATGCTTTATCAAAAAAATATTATTAAAATTTAAAGAAAAAAAAAAGTCATATATAAAAAAAATTTTTCTAAGAGTAACTTGCCTCAACCCCTGCAACAGAACACCCCAGTATACTGGAAGGAATTGTCTATCAATAAAAGAAATTAGTCCTGTTATGATACTTCAACGTTTCCATAATTAACATAAAAAAAAAATCTAATCTGCTATAAAATATAACTCAGAATTATATAAGGGACAAAATAGTATGGCAAGCTGTTTTTTTTCTGGAGTTTGAACATCAAAGAGGAATTTCAATGAGAAATTAATACAAATTATATGCAAGTTTTCACCACATATTTAATTGCTTTTATGCCCAATTTGTTTCTTAAACATTGTATTCAAAATGAAACTGCCTTATTCTTTCAATTGTATCTACACAAATTATAACTAAAAAGTAATGGTCAGAGTTGTCATATCTCTTACACTATATTTAGTATAATAAATTACCATAAAAATGCTGATTCAGAAGACATTGCATACTCTTAAACAACATGAAATAAAGTATTTCAAAAGTGTAGAGCTCCCTTAGTCTTTTGTTCTTTGCAATCTGTTTAGTTTGGGTTATTCTATACTAACTTAAATTTGAAGAATTTACTATTATTTCACTAAATTTTGTTCAGGTTGCCAACTCCTCGTACTTATAAAACCCAACATTCTCATCTGGAATTTCACTGGGAAAAGGTAAGTATTCCCTCAAAGAAGGAATATAAAAATCAGCTATTTTCAAATGTATATTTTACCATTCAGGCAGTGTTTGATATTTTTTTCATAGTTCGGCAAAGGACATTCAAATACTTGCCATTTGCCTGAAGAAAAGAAAAAAGAAAGAAAAGAAAGAAAAGAAGAAAAGAAGGAAGAAAAGAAAGAAAGAAGGAAGAAAAGAAAGAAAAGAAAGAAAGAAAGAAAGAAAAGAAAGAAAGAAAAGAAAGAAAAGAAAGAAAAGAAAAGAAAAGAAAAGAAAGAAAAAAAAGAAAGAAAAGAAAGAAAAGAAAGAAAGAAAAGAAAAGAAAAGAAAGAAAAGAAAGAAAAGAAAAGAAAGAAAGAAAAGAAAAGAAAGAAAGAAAAGAAAAGAAAAGAAAGAAAGAAAAGAAAGAAAAGAAAGAAAAGAAAGAAAAGAAAGAAAAGAAAGAAAGAAGAAAAGAAAGAAAGAAGAAAAGAAAGAAAGAAGAAAAGAAAGAAAGAAGAAAAGAAAGAAAGAAGAAAAGAAAGAAAGAAGAAAAGAAAGAAAGAAGAAAAGAAAGAAAGAAGAAAAGAAAGAAAGAAGAAAAGAAAGAAAGAAAGAAAGAAAGAAGAAAAGAAAGAAAGAAGAAAAGAAAGAAAAAGAAAAAAGAAAGAAAAAGAAAAAAGAAAGAAAGAAAGAAGAAAAGAAAGAAGGAATGAAGTAAGAAGGAATGAAGTAAGAAGAAGGAAGAAGAAGAAAAGGAAGAAGAAGAAAAGGAAGAAGAAGAAAAGGAAGAAGAAGAAAAGAAGGAAGAAGAAGAAAAGAAGGAAGAAGAAGAAAAGAAGGAAGAAGAAGAAAAGAAGGAAGAAGAAGAAAAGAAGGAAGAAGAAGAAAGAAGGAAGAAGAAGAAAGAAGGAAGAAGAAGAAAAGAAGGAAGAAGAAGAAAAGAAGGAAGAAGAAGAAAAGAAGGAAGAAGAAGAAAAGAAGGAAGAAGAAGAAAAGAAGGAAGAAGAAGAAAAGAAGGAAGAAGAAGAAAAGAAGGAAGAAGAAGAAAAGAAGGAAGAAGAAGAAAAGAAGGAAGAAGAAGAAAAGAAGGAAGAAGAAGAAAAGAAGGAAGAAGAAGAAAAGAAGGAAGAAGAAGAAAAGAAAAAAGTATTTTTCTACAAAGTCATGAGCTTTATATTCATTCTTTGGGACACTGCAGATTTTCTACAGTTATAAAGAACTTGCTGCAAAAGGACAAATTCTAAAATAGATATTAAAAGAAAGCTGTGTTAATGTATAGGAAACTGTTTAGAGAGAAATTTCAATCTTATGAATATAAATCTTGGAAATCTAGTTAATATTGCTTTTTTTTTAAAACAGTAGGTTTACCCTGTACAATGCCTGGGGGATACTTGAGGTAGAGGGTTATGCTAGGAAGCTGTTTGTATGGAAAGGAGAGGAAGGTAGACTTGAACAGGTTAAGATTGAAGTGATCAGGGAAACATTCTATTGGGAGATGGTTCCACAGAGCAGTAGTTTGTGGGAAGAAGGTGTTTGAGTGAAATTTACTTATCAATGGAATACAGAATGAATGTAGTGGAGATTGCTACAATGTAAGTGGCATGGCAGGTCCTTACTCTGAAGGTTAGGCCAAGCACTTTCCATGAAAGAAGTGATGAAGCAGTGAGGCCTACCACATCCCACATGTGAGAGAGAGGTTGGAGGATGGAAAACAATTTGTCACCCATAAAGACTCTGAGAAGCTTTTGGACTATCAAGGCTGAAAAGTGTGGTCTGTGTAGTTCCCAACTAAATATGACAACAGTACGCCATTCTTGGGCTGTTCAGTCTCTTGTAAAGGTAGAGAATAGCACATAGAATTAGGTACTTACTGGAGCAGTACAGAGAGGCAACCATTTTACTTGCATCTTCAGAAATGACTGTTATGTATGAGTTCCACTTGGTCAGGGGTGAGTTTAAGGCCCAATAGGCTCTCAAGACACAGTGAAAAAATAACTAGTTTGGTTTTCAAGGCATTGAATGTAACCAGCTAATTTTTCCCCCACTGGGCAGATCATTTATGTAAATCAAAAAGAGAGTTGGTCCAAGGAGTGATCCCTGTGGAATGCCTGCATTGACCACTAGGGCCTCAGAGGACTGGCCATTTATAACTACCTTCATGGTCCTAGCTATCAGGAAGGATTTTATAATCACACTCTGGTGATTTCATAACTGGAGAGCTTGTGTAGCAACCATTTGTCCATACCTTGTTGAAGGTCTTTGAGATATATAATGCTATATTCCTTGAATATTGCTATGTGAGTAAACTATATATATATATATATATAAGAAAAACAGAAGTTGAATGTGATTGCTTAAAAAGAAAATAGAAAAAATTGAATACTAAATCTCAAAGATTTTTCACAGCCTTCTATTTTCAAGAGAAATAAAAAAAAATAACTAATGATATATTCAACTGGCATTAAACAAACCTAAATATCCAATATAACCTGTTTTTATCAAATAAGCATAACTAACATTAAATATTGATGCTGAATCAGTTTGAAATGCTGCACTGAAGCATGCAATGAAGAGATTTCAATCAAAAATATTAATAATCTTTTTTAGCTAGTTTTAAATATTTTGGCTTTTGTTTACACATTTAACAAAAGTTGCTTAAGAATGGATATTTCTTTATTTTTTATAAAAAAAATTATTTTTATTAATTAAAAAAGATTTTTCGTAAGTTGTTTTAAAAGTAGAATTTATAGAAAGTAAAAATAAAAGTGATTTACATTACAATAGCTTTTTAATTTTTTTTACATGTTCAGTTCTATTTAAACTGCTTTGCATATGTTCGAGACAATTGCTTTTGTAGCAATAATAAAAAAAAGCACAATCCTGTTTTTCACAATACCCTAAGAGATTAAAAAAAAAAAATCTCTCCAAATAAATTTTTATCCAATTGACAAGTGAGATTAAACAAGTATATATATATATATATATATATATATATATATATATATATATATATATATATGCGCACACACACACACACACATATGTATGCATATACACAATTGCACATACCTTTGCTAAATCTGAATATCTCCTTTATCAATGCCAACATTCTGAAAGAGCAAATTAAATTTTAATACAGTGGGAAGTAAATGAAAAACATTGAAAAATCATTTAGCTTTCTGGATTTTGAAGAAAGTAATCAATTTAAAAATTTGTTTTTGTTTTCTCCCATTCAAGGCACATATGAGAGTTAGCAATATCCAATAATTAGTTAATTAACAACTGCATCTAATAGGAATCAACTATTATTTCTTATTGGTCAGAAAACAGAGACTATGAATATCTGTATACTGTAATCAGACTGATTTTAGCTTTTACAAAATTATTCATCAATGAAGCATAGAAATAATTTAGGGAAAAAATATTAAACAAAAAACAATAAAACAGAATTCTAATATTTGAAAGTTTTTATTCCATGATTTTATCATTATATTTATCATACATTATTTGTTTTTATTTCACAGAAGATGAAGAAAATTCTTACGTTATCATGCTAACATTTTAAGAGTATTTTTGTAAAGGTTGAAATCACTTTCTGATTGATTTATACAAGCACATTTTCTGATTGATAAGAAATATTTTATTCTTATTAGGTATCGATGTTAATTAGCTAATTATTGGATTTCAGCAATGATTCCCATGCTAATTAATTTTCTCATTAATTGTAGGTTAGTAGTAATTTAGGACTAACATACTCACCTCTAGTCACAGACACAAGCATCATGTTTGCTTAGCCATTACATGGGATTGCCTTGTTCCAAGTCAAAAAAAATTTAAATGTGTAGAACAAGAGAAAATTGTAATATCTAAGATTCATTTTTCTCCTTGTAATGTTAACATTTATTTTACAGAAGTTTCTGCAATCCAGAGTTTGTTATAGACTTACAAAAAGGCAAAAAGTTATGTGTAAAGTTTTCAGGCAGCAAAAAGAAGTTTTATTTAATTTTAATAATAAAGCAGGAAAGTTCTCAGTCAAGTATGACTAGCTGAATAGCCTGATACTGAATATTTACAAAACTTAACCTAGTAGAACTTGATGGATTCATTTTCTACAGCTTATCAATCTTTTTCAGGTTATTTAAAGCCAGAAAATATTTTTACATTGTAAAAATTTTTTGTGATAATGTTTTAGTTATACAGGTATTACTTATTAACCCATAGCTGGGGGAGAAGAGGTGGATTTATACCAAGTGTATTTGTGTGTAAGTGAATATAATGAACACAACGGAAATTGGAACTCCGCTCTCCAATTAACAATTCCAAGCCATTATCCATTACACCTCTTGCACATCCAAGCTTACAGCCCCATGCTATTCCCAAGTGGTCACTCATCTAGGTACTAACCAAACTTGACATTGCTTAACTTTGATGATCGTATGGGGAACCGGTGTTTCAATGTGATGTAGCTGTAAGCCTTTAACCTAGCACAAGATCAAATAATGAAAATGGAAGATCATGTTGCACCAGATTTCCAAGTAGTCACAGCCTGCCTGCCTTGAAAATCAGTATTAGAAATTCTATTTACCTAGGCTCAAACATCAACCCTTGGAGCTAGTAGGAAATATACAACTATTTCAGCCATCAGACAAGCCTCAACTGCTTTGTTTTGGATATAATCCACAACAGTTTTGAACTATAACATAAACACTATAGTTAATAGGTTTCTATTTATATCTTTAGATAGTATTTAAAGTAAAATTGAGCTCTTAGCAAGAATTAGGGTATTAGTGAAGATTGAAAACTACAAATGAAAAATGTTAAGTTCCAAATATATCACAACAAGCTTCATTTTGTATTTTAAGCCTCAGTAACAATTTTACACAATTTATAAATTATCTATAAATATAAAATTTGGGCATCATTTTCTTTTCACTCATTTTTAATTTAAATCAATTAAAATTATAATCTAATCTTATATCAGAACTTAACATAGCAAGTTACAAATCAGAGAGGGGAGGTACTCACCTCAGCAACTTTTAAGAATTCAGAAACTTTATCCATTCGCACCAGAAATTTCTTATATATGTCCAGTGCTTCTTTACACTGCTTCTTGTTCATATCAAAGTATTTTTCTAAAAAAGAATGCATTTTATTTTATTTTAAAAAGGGAAAAAAATGGAATTCTAGAGAATACATGAATAAGAAAAAGGCTAACAAATTTCATAAATATTTTTAGGGTTCAGATTAAGTTCTGATTATTATCTGGTTATACTCAAATTAAATTTAAATGTATAATATCCAATCTTTTATTCTCATTTCCTGCCTTTAAATTCATGAATAATTAAATTTGTATTAAAGATCATACCATCAGTTATAGCAAATTTAGCATAGGTGATAAGGAAATTGAACACAGAATAGGCTGCACTAGAAGTAGTTTTACCCAACAATGCAAATTGCTACAAAACCAAAACATTAACCTGAAGACATGAGTTGTCTTAAATAACCTTGTCATATCAAGACTTTCATATGGATGTCATGCATGGTGCCAGACCCATCTAGAAATATCTAAGCTGGCAACTGTATACAAACACTAAGATCAATGTTTAAAAATGGCATTGAGTGAGTGAAGCCTGTGGGTCTTAAAGACCACACTTCTTCAAGCCTTGTGGATTGGTGCTAAAAAATCACAAACAAAGAAATGTACCAAATAACAGAAACCACATCACTTGAGGACTATCAACTGCTAAAATGGATATCACATGTAACTTGGAGAGAAATAATGATATAATCGAGATGTTGACATTCCACACTACTTCAAATAAAAGCTTAGAAAAGAACCCCCCCATGAATACTGGAAAGAGTGATAACAGCTTGATAAACCTAGTTCCCTGAAAAATTGTTTTAGGAAAAAGATTTTATAAATCTTAACTGATAGTAGTACTAGCTGCTTGGTCAATGAATACCAAATGTTTCCTTATAATGAAATAGCTAATATTACCATATTTATTTATCTGTCTATCATGTCCTGCAACAGACAGTTGAACAGCAGCAGTGTATTAAACATTACAACCTGTTTCATAATCTTTGTTACATTTGTATACACATTTCATCCAATAAGCATAACATTTTTTTTTTTTATTTACTAAATTTCATCTAATACAAGGCTCAATAGCCATTAAGATAAAAGGTTACTGTTAAAATGTTTATGATGAATGAGATGTGTGATATGAAAGGAAGAGATGGTGATAGGAAGTGATTATAAAGACAAGATAACAATTAACTCTTGACTTGAAGGGGTCTGGATTAAAGTGTGTTCAGGAAGGCACCAACACAAGAGTCTGCCCCACAAAATGGCACTTCTCAGGGAAAATGATATCTAAGTGGATCACAGAAAAAAAGTAGTGTTTTAACTCCATAGAAGTAACATGGCAGCTTCTAGCTTTAAAGATCTGGATTGTTGAAACTTACAAATGGAGCCCATCTGAACATTTCCCTGGAAGGAACAGAGTGAATAATATTTTTTTCCAAAAATGAATTTAGTTCTAAATTTTACAGGGAACTTAAATTTAAATTCCATTTTTGAGCTATCTTCACTAGTTTACCTATCTACACCTCTGGATTCTGGTAGTATTGTGCTCCAGCTATATGGTAGAGGTGGGTGCATGGATGATTGGCTAGAATGTTTAGTATTCTGATCATAAGATAAAGGCTTGAATCTCATCAAGGTCAATTTGTCAGGAGACTATCCCAGTGTGCAGTACTATTGGTAAGTGCTTGAAAACCACACCCTAAATTGACCCCAACCTTGTGAGTGAAATTTGGTAGATGAAACTGTTTGGAAGCTGTTGATGGTTATGCTAGCACAAAGTCATCCTGAACGAGGGTTTGAACGTACTGCCCTTGTTCAAACTAGTAGTTATACCAGATTATGCACTCTGGCCTAGAAAATGTAACTAAGGTTTGCACAGCACATAAATGGAACATAAACCATGGATTGGCTCTATGGGTGTTGAATAAACACAAATGTGCCTGAGCAAACGTCTGCATATAAAAATGGTAGTGGCAATTTTCTTAGGAATATTTGGATTTAGTTGTTTTCAAGGAAAACAAATACTATAAATTTCCCAAGAAAACAAGTGCAAATTATAATTAAACCAACAATATTGCATTTGGTCTACTGATAGTGCTTCATTAAAAACTAAATTTATTTTCTTTGTTTCAAATGTCATTAGAACTAGCATTCATAACTGTATCTGCTTGCTGTGGTATCAAAATTTGATTACACATCTATGAATAATCACAATTATTAATGCCATTGCTACAAGAAATTATTCAGGCTGATTCAATAGTATATACAGCCAACAGGTATTATTGGATTCAGTTGAAAATAAGAGTTACCAACTCTCCAGTTATAATAAAAGACAACAAAAAAATATATATATATAGTACTTTTTAATTCTCATAGATACAAAACATAATTGAAAATGATGTTTTTTACCTTGTAAATTCAACAAAGGACAAGGACAGAAAGAGCTAAATAAAAGACAGTTGGCTACCCTAGTTGCAAACAAAAATGTATTTGGTCAGTCCATCTAGAAAGGGTTAACTATAAGAAATTACTGAATACTAAGTTCACATTAAGTTGACAGAGCATACTTACCTAACAAATTAATAATACCATCATTGTAACATGCAAATAATCGGATCAAATCTTTAAACAAAAGTAGAAAACAAGCATTGATAACTCCATTGGTCAATTCATTAGGAGTGCACTGTAAAAAGAAAAGAAAAGCATTCTTTAAACAATACAATTTGAAAAGTTCAAATTCAATAAGAGTTATCAATTTTGTGCTTGTAACCTCCAAGCATTGAAAGCAAATAAGCAAACTGCTGAAAAAGCAACTTGCAAAATATTTATTAAAAACATACACTTTGTATAAATATCAAGGATCTGTATTGAAATTTCCTTCAAATACATTATATCATTTTTCAATAAACCTGATTTTATCAATATGGTGCATATGGTTTCCTAAAGATAAGGTAAACTCATGAGATTTGTTTCATTATCTGGTTGTACATTTTGCATCAGCCATGATTTTTCATAAAATAGACTAATTTATAACAGTGTCAAGAACCAAGCATATTGCAACAATTGTCAATCAAGAAAAAAAAAAAAAAAGATCAGTTTCAAAGATTTCATAGTTAACAAATATTTTTCCTTTCCTGATTAGTTTTACTAATGGAGATTTTTATATCAGCTTTATCCTAATGTAGAACATTTTCTCATTTTTATCAATGCTTTTGTAAGAAACAACCTCAGATATATAATTAACCATTTAAAAAAACAAAAAACTCATTGAATTTATATATGACCTTGACGCATTTATACTTAAACTAACGTTGCTAAGCAAGTTTATAAATAAAAGCACACCAATAAAAGTGACAATATTTCTTGAGCATGTACTTTCATAAGAAATAGTGTTATATGAGAGGGTATTGAAAAGTTCTTAGTCCAGCAACTTTTCAGCCCATTAATAAATTTATTCATTACTTGCAATATCCCATTTTAGAGATAAATTTTGAAAATTTTAATTTACAATTAATTTTGAGAACATACTCAGACATATACTCTATAATGGCTAAGAGAGGATAAAATTATGTTTGATATTAAAAGTATAATTAATAAAATCATCTGACTAAACATGATCTTTTATTAGAAAAGAGTCACTTCACAAATGATTATTCTATGAAGGGGTGTTGAAAAATTCTGTTAGTTGTCACTGTAGATTGAAAGTGTTCCTTTATATTATGAAGTATCAATTTCCATGATCACTACTTATTTCAGAGTTTGTTTCAGATCATTAACAGAATCATGTCATGGGAAAGTGCAGGATTTTCAAGTGATGAACTTTGGAATGTCATGAAGTTTCTGTTTCCGTAGAAGAAAATTCTAAGAGAAATCTCTGAGTGTATGACACAAACATTGCTTTGTTTTATATCATATCAACCCATTGGAAATTTAATATTCTTCTAAATAAAATCTTGTATTTAAACAGTCAAAAAAAATTTTTTTCCATAGTAAGACTGCTGTTATGATCATATTTTTTCTTTAAATTACATTTTTGAAATCAGTTTAATTTCCTTTAGAAACTGTAATATCTAAAATGAATCAGTATTTTGAAAAACGTCTTTTAAGTTTGTTGTTTGGTAGTATTTTAAGCATATTGAATTAAAATTGCTGCAGTTTGTCAGTATGTATTTTATGGTGAATGGCTCTTGGTATGCCAAACATACTTCTTCCTTTTTTAGGACATACAAATGGATTATGGTAGTGTGTCTAATATGGAGCCTGGACATAATCACTCCTAGTTTGGTGTTTCTGATATCATTTTCCTATAATTGGTTTAATTTTAAACAGTTTATTTTTCAGGCAGGGGTTCAATAGGTTCTGCCACTACT